GTTCATAACAAAGCCCATAGAAATAAAACAGATAATGACACAATACTTTGAGGATCTGTACGCTAACAAATTTGAAAGCCTAGAAGGAAAGCCTAGGACAAATTAATAGAAAGACATAACCTACATAACCTAGCATGGACTGAAGTAGCAAACCTGTGCAGACTTTAAAGAAGAAGAAATTGATAAAGTCATTAAAAGAAAGAAATCTTAACCAGAAAGTCTGGGCTCAGACAGCCTCACTGGCGGATTCTACCAAACATTCAGAGAAGAACCTAGTTATACTCAAAGAATTACAGATTATAAAAGAGGATGGAGAACTCATGAACTCATTTCACGAAGTGAGCATAGCCCTGGATCAAAAGTCAGCATAGACATAACTTACAAAGAAAATTCTAGACCAATAGTCCTCATGAACTTAGGTGCAAAACATTCTCAACAAAATCCTACCCAATAGAATCTAATAAGATCGCAAAAACACAATAACATCGTGCTCAAGTGGGAGTTGTACCAACTTTTGCAAGGAAGGTTCAACATTATAAAGAACAATCAATGCAATCCATCACATAAGTGAAATAATAGAAAGGAACCACATGATCGTATCAGTTGATGTAGAAAAGACATTTGACAAAATCCAACACCCGTTCTTGATTAAAATAGTCAACAAAATTGGGGTAGACAGGGAATTCTTCAACATGATAAAAGCTATATAGAAAAAATCAAAGCCAATATTACTCTCAATGAAAAGAAACTGAAAGTATTCTCCTTATGAGCAAAAATCAGACAATAAAGCCCCTTATCATCACTATTTGATATTATGCTAGAAATCTTAGAGCTATCAGGCAACCAAGAGAAATTAAAGGCCTCCAAACTGTCAAAGGAGTGAAAACTCTAGTAACAGATGATATGATCCTATACACACCCTCAAGAAGTAAATTGTTGGGACTAATTGAAAGAGTCGATAAAATGAAATCAACATACAAACATTGGTGGGATTTCTTTGGACTAACAAAGTGATCCCTAAAAAAGCAACCAGAAAAACAATACCATTTACAATAGCCACTCAAACGATAAAATACTTAGGGATAAATTGAACCAGAGAAACAAAAGAAAATACAGAGCAGAAAAGGTTACAAAACACTACAAGAAACCAAAAATGTCTACATAAATGGAAGAAGATACCATGCTCATGCATGATGTCAATACTACCCAGAGCAATCTACAGATATAATGAAATCTGATCACGATTCCAACACCCTTCTTTAAAGATATGGAAAAAACTAAGCAAAGGAAAGAGTCACCAGATAAGAAAGCACTACAAAAAAAAAAAAAAATTCAGTAGGAAGCCTCACATATTTTTAAAATCTCAAAACCAAATATACAGCCCCAATAGTTAAAACAGTACTTCCACAAGGACAGATACATGGATTAATGGAATAGAATTAAAAACCCAGGAGCAAATCCATACACATACAGAAAGCTGATCTTTGACAAAGAGCCAGGATCTTAAATGGGGATTGGATAGTCACTTTACCATATGTGCAGGCAAAACTGAATATGTCTATTTACAGAAGAATGAAATCAGACTCAGTGTTGCACACCATATTAAAAAATGAACTCCTGATGGATCAAAGACCTAAATGTAGTATCCAGAGCTATAAAGATCACCAATGACAAAATTGGGACAAACTTAGGGGCCCTAATACAAGACGTAAGTATACTATCAAATATAATGTTAAAATATCACATATAGCTGGAGATATCCACACACTAGGAAAAATGTTTGCCAATTACATAACGGAAAGAAGACTAATCTCTAAAGTTTACAGAAATCTTCAATACCTCAGCAAGAAAAAGACAAATAATCCAATCAAAAATGGGCAGAAGTTGTGGACAGAGAAGTCACTAAAGATATTGAGACAGTCAACAAATATGAAGAAATGTTCACAATATTTAGCTACCTGAGAGGTAAAATTCAAAACAATGAGATACTATCTCACCCTACCATTAATAACAAAGTTTTTTTAAAAAGCAAATAAGAAATGTTGGTGAAGGTGAGGAGAGTTTGGAATTTATACCCTGCTGATCGGACTATGAAACCGTACAACCACTGTGGTAGAAAGCAGTATGCTGCTTCCTCAAAAAGTTGGGAATAGAAATCTTATAATCCCAGAATCCCTCTAGGTGGTATATCTCTGAGAGAAATAGGAGCGGTAACACAAATAGATATATCCACTCTCCATTAGCAGTGCAACAGTTAACCCTTTGTCCCAGGCAGGGACCCCAATATATCCACTCTCATGTTCATCACAGCACTATTCACAATAGCAAAAAGATGGAAATAACCTTAATGTTCTTCAGTAGAAGAATGGATAAATACACTTATTCTGGATTCTATGCAAAATTACAGAACAATGATGAGTCAATCTGTACTTTTCCATCCTCATAACATGGATGAACTTGGAGGACATTATGCTGAGCCAAACCACTCAATCAAATATTGTATAAAAAGTCAAGAAGAAGTTTCCACCATAACACAAATGGCTTTTGATAGCTATAAGGGGTGGGAGGGTAAGGGAAGGTGGGGAAATAGACTATAGGGAGTAGACCAATGTTAACTTGGGTGAAGGGGAAGACAATATACAATAAAAGGGAGGTTGACAAAGATTGCATAAGCAGAGAAAGACACTGGAAAGGTTATAAGAGTGAAAGGTAACAGGCAAATACTATTACTGTGGTGAGCTACCTGTGTGAGAGGGTGCATGGAATTACACCCATGAATACATATATATTTGACAGAGGATGTTTGTATATGTGTATTTACCTTTGCTGTGAATATAGCCATGCATGTGGTTGAGCCTGGGTGGGTGGGTGGGGGAACAGAGTTATGAATGCTTCTTAGACTTAACCAAACACCTTGAGAGAATGAGTTGCTGGGCCAGAGAATCAGGATCATTGGCTCAGATGACAATGAAACCAATTGGCATAACAGAGTTCACAAAGACAATGTTCCACAACCGACTTGGTGAGTAATGACTGTGATCTCGAAAGCTGCTAACTGCAGTCTAAGGTGCCTGTATTGTTCTTTCCCCATCCAGAGGAAAGAAGAGGGGTAAAACCCAAAAGGTCTATGGATGCAAGTATTCCCTGGATTAATGAACCATGCAAACATTCATCTCCAACACCCTAAGACCATAAGAACTAGTTGAGGCCAAGCTACCATGATCAACTGCTCTGAAAAGAATCGCATTAGGAGATCATGGATAGAGTGGGAGAAACCCAGAGTCATAAAAGAGATCCGGCTTGCTGGTTGGCTAGAGACTGGTGAGCGCCAAGCCCATGGCCCCTAATCACCCCTCAGGTCTGGAACTGAATTCCGCATACCTGTGCTAGAATAAGCCACCCTTTAAGATCAAAAGGGCAGCATTTGCCCAAAGACAAAGTTCACAGAATTAGGAAAGAAGGAGGAACAGAAACAGGAAACTCGGGAGGAAGTGGGATAATTGATGGTCCATTTAAGGAATTGCAATGGATGTGTGGATACAAAATGTGGATGCATTGTTGAATATAAAACTATGAGCTGCTATGTAAATCTTCATCTACTTCAATATAAAAAAGTTTTTTTGTTATGCCACAGGAGTAAAATAAGATGATATGTTCATTGGTCTATTTCTTCATTGCACTGTGAAGTATGAAACTGAGAAAGGGAGAAGATATAGCTTGAAGAGATATAGGAAGCTTACTCATTTTTGTTTGCACTTAATTCTGCAAACGATTTAAACAAAGTATGGTTCAAGGACCACACACACACACACACACACACACACAACTTGTTTTGTGCAGACTTAATATTTTTTAAAGTGACATTTCCTTCTTCTAACATTACGAAAGAAATTGAAGAGTTGGGCTTCAAGGTATATCTCTTCTTCTCTTCTTTTATTCTTGCTCCTCAAACTCTAAAATATAATTTTGGTAACCAGTAATATTAGGCAGACATATTGTTTCAAGGTGTTCAGCTTTGGGAGTAAAAAAGAAGAAACCATAATTTTCAAACAGGTTTTTGTGCATTAAGGAAACTACCATGTGATTTTAGATATGGATGCCAATTCCTAACTGTTAGCTACTGTTTCCCAACTAAGTGCTTGGAATGATTACACCACTAAATGTTCACATGTATTCTTTCAGGATACTAGAGTATATGTGAGATGTGGTGATAAAAGCATATTTATCTCTATATGTGTGGATCTGTTATTTGTACATGATAACACCATATCGATTATACATATGCCTACATACATATATACCGTGTAATATATCCTTTTTTTTGGAGGGAGCTTAACTCTTCCATAATTATTTGATGTGCATAAAACCTAAATGGCAGACATAACTTATACAGTCTGACTACAACTCTCTTTGGGAAAAGATTTTGTGTGTGTGTGTGTGTGTGTGTGTGATACTGGGGAAAGAAGAGTTACTAGAGAAATTCAAAGCATTCCTCAAGCCCTTCTTTAAAGCACATTCCATCCATTCCCCCCTAACTGGTTGGAAAATCCTCCTCACTGCCCCCACCCCATCACCCTCTGCAATGCAATGGGGAAGTCGGTGGGTAATTGGGTCCAGATTGGAGATGTTTAAATATTCATGAGGCTTGCAGGGGACTGGGAGGGGGTGACAGCCTAGAATGGGGGTTGGGGCTGGGGGAAGTGATTAGTCATTGAGAGCTAGTGAACAATTCTGAGAAAGAGACCAAGGAGAGAGAGAGAGAGAGGAGAAAAAGACAAGGAGGGCAGGAAAGAAGAGGCAGGGGGGCAGAAAACGGAAGGGGAGAGAGACGAAAGAGAGGAGAGAGCAAGAGGCAGAGAGAGGGAGAAGACAGAGCATGTGCGCTGAGCACTAGCTGTGGACCTTACAGTTGCTGGTAACTGCCCTGGTGTGTGTGAGGGAGAGAGAGAGAGGGAGGGAGGGAGAGAGAGAGCGAGCGCGCTAGCGCGAGAGAGCGAGTGAGCGAGCGAGCAGAAAAGAGGTGGAGAGGGGGGGACTGAGAAAGAGAGCAGGGAAGGAGAGAAAGCAGGAAGAAGGCGAGGGGACGATACAACCATGCTGTGCTGTATGAGAAGAGCCAAACAGGTAGAGCTACCGATTTTACTTCTTGCTCTTGTGCAGTGACCAGAGGACCATTCCCCCTGTAAAGGCAGGAGCATATTTTTAATGCCTCTGTTCTGGCCGCGCGGTTCGCGTGTCCTTAGCATATGGCAACGGAGGTTTGCATCTCAGCTTTGATTCCTTTCTGCCTTGCATGCTGTGGTGTGGGAATGCTGCTACTCATTAGGGTGAGGGGAGGGAAAAATATGTCTGTTTGGCGAGGAATAGGGATTTTGCCCCCTTTGGCTATTAAGTAAATGCTCAGCAGGCTGGGTCTCTGGTTTGAGGGTGTGGATGTGGGCTCTACCTCCGCGATGGGGAGGCACTTCTCTTTCAGCTGCAGAAAGCCGGGCTGAAGGAATAATATGCAGGACCGAGCCCATCGCCCTTTCTGTCGTACAATTTTCTCACATGTGCTGCCGGAGAAGCCTTATTTCCGAACATGCATGAGCTTTGAATGGGCTCAGGTATTTATGGAAAAAACATGTGAAGGGGTTTTCAAAACTGTTCCCCCACCCCATGAATGAATGAAACTGTGATCTGAAAGATTACATTTTCAAGAGAACCCAAAGGGAAGTGGGGCTGGGAGAGCCCGTGGCCGTGCGGAAAGGTGAACCCCCTTCTTGGGAGCGGGGCGATCGCGCGCCCGCTGGCTGGGGGCGAGGGCGGACCACGCCCCGGGGCGCCCCGAGCTCCGACGGCCGCCGACAGCAGCCGGGGTTACCTGTTGGAAAGCCGGGCTCCGCTCCGCCCTGCCCTGGCTCCTTTCCGGGGATCGTCCCCGATCCACCACGCATTAACCGCCTGAATAACTGGGGAAGGGCATAAACCTGGAGCCCCCTCCCTCCGCCTCCCACCGCCCAGGGTTTTGTTTTTTTCCCCTTTCAAATGGCTCGTTTATTTCTGGGAAGACCTTTGGGAAACTTGATTGGGGTGATTTTGGGGTGATTGGGTGGGGAGGAATGAAGAGTGGCTAGTCCCCCGCAACCCACAGTGCGGGAACATTCTCCAAAGGACGCTTGCCCACATTTGTGGGAGCACGTTTGAGCGATTTCAGGGGTGGTGAAAGAGAAAAATGGGCGTGGGGGGCGTGGGTGAGTGTGTGTGTGCGCGTTTGTGTGTGAGTGTGCGCGCGCGTGGGGAGGGGACAATCGGGGTCCCCAAAGCCCTTTGCAGAGGGATTGTCTCAGGGGTGGGGCGCCAGAGATGGGATTTGGGCATTCTTCCTGGGCAGGTACTGGGCAATTTGTAATACACTGGCTGAATCCGAAGGGGGTGAAGGATGGTCGGGAAGAAGCATCCGGCCCAGCCCGCACTGTCCCCCACCGGCCCGGAAGGGAGGGGTGCGGAGTGAGCCTGAAGGAGAGGGAAGAGGAAGAGGAAGGGGAAGAGACGGAATGTCAGAGGAGTGGGTGGCGAGGCATGGCAGACATGGAATACAGAAAGTCGCAGACACGCGGGGTTTTGTGTGTGGTCTGCGTGGGGTGTGGATGGGGCTTCTGACTGCAGGCACTTCCTAAACTGATCGACGGTTCCATTTTTCCTATGAGGGCATTTCCTATCCTCGTCTTCCTTCATTTAAATATATAAATGCAATAGATACAGGTGTCTGGGTTAAGCAGACTGCCAAAGAAACATTCGAAGATTACCCCACTGGGGAGCCAGGGAGATAAAATTTAGGAAGGCGGAGCCCTAAGGAAACCAATGCTATTCATTTAAAAAGCTTTGTAATTTTGGAAAGAAAAATACGCCAGTTTACAACTTGTTCCCACCCGATTTATACACTTACAAGTACACACATCCTCTTTGACAAAGGAAACCAAGCAAGATTTTCAGAAAAGGAATTGGGTGCGAACGAGGGTTCCTTTCCCAAAATGAGGACAGCTGCTTTCCCTAAGCCAGGAGCCTTGGTGGCGCCGCGGTTGAGCGCTCAGTGGCGAATTGAAAGGTTGGAATCCAGGTGGGGAATCCACCAGCCGATCCGGAGGAGAAAGGTGTGGCAGCCTGCTTCCTTAAAGAGTTACCACCTGAGAAACCCCCGGGGACAGCTCTACTTTGTCCTATCAAGGAGCTCTGAGTCAGAATCGACTCCAAGCCATGGATTTGATTGAGAACATTTTTATTTTGCCTTCACTTAGGTTTTATCTCACCGACATGATGATGTGCAAAGTGATGAAGCTGAAATTGAAATTGTATGTTTAGGGAGTGGTAGGAGTTCACATGTTGTCTATAGCATCCACGTACTTCATGTACAGATTGTCATGCATGTCGTCTGTGTGATGCCTGCGTGCCTTCGTGTGTTTGGGCATCATTCGTAAACGAGAGAGAAAATGAGAAGTATAAAAACTGTCCTATTTTACCCAGGCAGTTCATTAATATGTACTTATGTGTGGAATAGTCCTGTCTCTTATCTACTACTGTTGCATGTCATGTGTAGATGTAGTTACTATGTAGGCTGCCATTAAACCAGACGGAAGGAAATGGTATATTAAGGGCGTGGACTCCACCCCACACTGGCATTTCTATAGCAGGAATACTATGCGGGTTTCCTGCTTGTGCCTGAAATGGCCTTATATCATACGTGACGGAATCCAACCGAGTCCATCCTTCCGGCATCTATTCATCTCCCTCGTCTGGAACACAGAATAAAACAAGGGCAAAAATCTGCAGAGGTCTAAACTCTGCCACACCCATGGAATTCAGCAGAACCGTGGGAGGGGGTTGGAAGGCCTGCACTTCCTCCCTCTTCCACTAGAGCAGCGTAAAGAAGCAATCTTGGATTTCTAAGTTGTAATACATTGGCAATGGGCAAGAAGAAAGCATAAATGATCAATATTAGCGATTAGTTGCCATTCTCAATTGCTGGAACAGGAAGCAGAGATGGAAGTGGGCTGGGAAGGAGAAGATGGTCAAGAGGTGGGCCCAGGCGGACAAAAGAAAAGAATCCACTGAAATTTTATTGGCTTCTGACTTCCAAGTATCCTGGGGCTTACTTTAAATAGCTTAATTACCGTGCATACTGTAGATGCTGAAAAACTTGCAAGGTGTGATCTGTGTCCACAAAGCAAGAAAAATGGTGAGGTGAGTTGTTTCCTTTGTTTAAAAATAATGACCTGCTTGTAATAGAAGTGTAAAGAACACCATGCAAGCAAATAGTGCTCACCCACATTAGACTCCCCTCCCCAGCTAACAAAATAATTCTTATTACAGAGAGTGTGATATGTGATTGAGAATCCCAACCCTGCTGCACCTCTCCCTTGCAGTGTTGGCCACGTGTGGGTAGATGCAGCCGTGGTGCTTGGTGCAGGCAATTTTTCCCAGTGATGAATTGGATCCTGCTAAATCCGCCTGAGCCACACCCAGTGTCACCCAGGGACTAAGCGAATTCACTAAATAAAGGCAATTCTATACTTCATAAAATGGAAACGGTTCTTTTCTTTTTTTTTTTTTTTTTCATAGCCACCACACATTTCCAAATTTAAACAAGAAAAAAAAATTTTTTTGAAGGGCTTTTTTACCCCTTTCCCCTGATGGATTATCTGTACTTGCAAAGAACTTTTAAAAACACATTGGTATGTGCTTAGAAAATTCATGTAGAAATGTGCTAATTTCTAGTGACTGCATCACACCTCTACCCCGTGCCAGTGTTGTGTACAATGACCCTGGCTGGGTCTCATGCTGACAGTCTGTGCAACTTTTTCTGTTTTTCATTTGACTCACACCCATGGCGCCTGGAATAAGAATGTGCAGGGTTAATTCGTGTCTTGCTGAGCTGGCAAAACTACAGAAATCGCCTTTCATGTTTCCTGCTAAAGGGCAGATGCTGTAGCTTAGAATCTCCTTTGCTGGTGGTGTCTTGGTTTCCCGCGTTGAGCTGCTACCAGAAAGGTCAGTAGTTCGAAACCACCACCTGTTCCGTGGGAGAAAGAGGATGCTTTCTACTCCTGTAAAAAGTTAATCTAAGAAACCCACAGGAGCATTATACAGTGTCCTGAGTCGAAATGGACTTCAGGGTAGTGGGCTATTTATTTATTTAGAGCTTTGCATCCTTCATAATGAAATTGTCTGTGCTATGCCTTGGATTTTTACCTGACCCATTGGGAGGAGGGGGGACTCTACTTTCTCTGCACGTATGTACTAGAACATATGCACTAGCCAATTGCACCCCTTGTTCATAGTATTGATAAAATAAGGCAGCCTCAAGGTTCTCTCTATTAATAAATTCAAAGGATGAACATAACCAGGTCATTAAAAAAAACACTGCAGGGGGTGGGCGGGCAGGGAGGAGTATTACTCTTCATTAAGAACTGGCTTCCCTTTTGTAATAGAAGTGTCAGGCAAACAAGCAGTATCTCTTTTCAACCAAGTGATTTTAGGCTGGAATACCTGCACAGCCTTCTTTAAGGTGTTGGGGGGAGCACTGTGCTCAGAGTCCTTAGTCTGTGTCTCTCACTGATGCTGTTATCTTGGATGAATCACACAGTAGGGCTTCCAGGTTCTCTTATGGGGTGGGGATTGGAGACAAAACACCCTGCTTACTTGTCAGGATGAAATATAATTGATGTAAAACAGAGATTAATGCAAATGTAACAGAACGTTTAAAATTTGCAACATGAGACTTAAATAATTTCTGTTTTTCTAGAACTCTTATGTTTCTAATACGTCTGACTGTTTTCTGTTTGAGATTGTTATTTTTCTTGTCAGAGTTGATTCCTATGCTTGTGTTCTTGCTCCATGCCCTGTTTGTTTATTTGTTTGTTTTTCTCCCCGAACCTCACTCCATCACTTCCTACTCTTGAGATTTCATTTCATATGGTCTGTCAAGATGCTCTTGTTTCTTTAATCTTAAAAGATCTGCTCTTAATGCTATGCTCCCACCTCTACACTACTGTGTCTCACCCTCCCTTTAGAAAAAACAATCTCTGTAAGAACTACCCCACACTTATTTTTTTTCTCTTCTTCACCCCTCGTCACTATTCCATTTA